TTTTTTTTTTCATCACTTTGTGCCTGTTCCTCATTAGAAGAGGAGGTGCTTGTGTCACAGGAGTACAGTGGTATCTGTATAATGTGGAAAATAATTGATCATCGTAGATTCCTATGTGAGCTGACTTTGTTCGGATCCTTTTGATTGCAGTACCTTAATCTTCAAAAGCAGTTATTTCTGTGTAGAGTTCATAAGCAGAAATTTAAGTATGCTTTCATTAATTGTCACTAGATGTGAAATTCTAATGTTTCTCTCTTTTCCTGTCTTTTCCTCCAATTGTTTCCCCCTCCAGCAAATTGAAGAATTTTCTGATGTTAACGAAGGAGAGAAAGAAGTGATGAAATTATGGAATCTTCATGTTATGAAGCACGGGTATGTTATAAACTTAGTTTTGATGCAAATAGTATAGCTTTGGGTGACTGTTTTGTACTGCAATTTGCTAAGCACCTAATTCATTTCAGTGGTGTAGGAAAGGTTCATAAAGGATGATTTGCTAACGTGCTTTGTATTGTTTTAATTTTAAAAAAATCTTGTACATAGCTCTATGGCTTTGAAAACAAAAACATTGCAGATATTGAGACAACATAATGGACAATCTCTGCAGTTATCTTGATAAGCCATGTTGAAGGATGTCTTCTATTTCTGAAAATGTTTACCTCGCGTAACGATGGATTTCTGACTTGACAGGTTTATTGCTGACAATCAAATGAATCATGCCTGTATGCTGTTTGTTGAAAATTATGGACAGAAAATAATTAAGAAGAACTTATGTCGAAACTTTATGCTACATCTGGTCAGCATGCATGACTTTAACCTCATCAGCATAATGTCGATAGACAAAGCTGTGGCCAGGCTTCGGGAGATGCAGCAGAAGTTAGAAAAGGGAGAATCTGCTTCCCCAGTAGATGAGGAATCTTCTGAAGAACAAAGTGGGACGACAAATGGATTCAGTGAAAATAATATGAGAGAGAGAATTTCGGAAATGGATAGCATCTCAGGTGTCACAAAACAGAGCAAGAAGCAGAAACTCTGAAGTCAAAACTGAAACGCCATTCAACGGACAAACATTGAAGTGACATTCTAGGGTACATGAGCTCTATAAAGAATTACACACAATGCAGAGATTCCAAACAGGCACTGCTGGATGGAAATAAATGATTTCAGCAAGGATATTGTTTTAACAGGGTTTCTATTCAGTTAATTATGCAAGTACTACATGTATATCGGTTTTGGTGATGTAATGACAATATTCTAAGAGTTTGAGCATGAAGAGCAATATGAAAGTCTTTTTGTAATTTTAGTAATTAGTGTCTTAAGAACTTTATGGAATTTTCATAATTTAAGTATATGTAAAACAATTTTTATATTAAGATTTT